TAGCAGATAGCATCAAATGCATTTTTCCTTCTCTTCCAATTGGAAAATCACTCCTAATCAATTCTGTGCTGGGGGTTAGACGGTCTGGGTGTCATGGGAAGGATGTTTTATGTTTATGGAATTGAACTGAGATTGTGTTCAAATGTTGCTCCCTCATTACTTTTTGTGTGACACTGATTTGGCAAATGAATTTCTCCGTACGCCATCTGTAGACTGCAACTATTATTTCTCTTCAGGGCTATCATGAGTTTTTGTGACATTGCCTCTACTTGGTTGCCTTAGTTTGCTTCTGATTATGCAATAAAAGCCATGATTAGCTTCAGTAAACATTACTATTTTACTTGAAACTTTAGTGCCCTAACTGCCTGCTATCTCATAGTGCCTGCATCTTTTCCAGATGCTGGAGTGTGGCCCGAGGTGGCATTGCCCTTTAATAAATTGGAACATAGACCCAGAGCAGAGATGTGACCTGCTCAGGTTATACAGGGAGCTGGTGACAGGATTAGAGCTCAAGTTTCCTGATTCTCAGCCCACTGTTCTTTCTACCGGACATTTCTCTTGGGGAGTATAAACAACACAATTTGCAGGAATCATGGCCATTTATTGAACATCGAATACTTGCCAGGCCCATACATTATCTCCAATTCTCACAACAATTCTGCAAAGTAGAATTTTACAGATAAAGAAACCAAGACTGAGAGAGACTAAATCACTTGCCCAGAGCCACTCACCCGTTGTGAGCAGAATCCGGACTGGGCCCAGCTCTGTCAGAAGCCCCGCCCTGTGCTCCCACCACATTGCAGAGGGTTTGTGAAACTCCAGGGAAGAAGTAGAAGAAGAAAATATGTTCACTCGCCCTTCCGATCCCTTCACCCATTCGATCAGCAGATGATGACCCCATGGCTGCTCTGTGCCAGGAACGGCACTGGGCACTGGTGAGCGAGACAGGCAGGGCGCTGGCCTTAGGGAGCTCTCATTCTCATGCAGTTTCCCTCTCACTCTCCCCACATCCTTCTGCAACATCCCCCTCCTCTTTCATTACCGTGTTGCCTGTGCACTGTGCTTCAGTGTCTCCTTTCTTTCCATTTCTTTAGCCACATTAGAACAAGGTTCGCGCAACCCGTGTATCATGGAGACTGGCGCTCTGTGCAGTCCCTGTAGGCCCTCCTGTGCCCTCCTGTTAGTAGCACTTCATGAGAACTCGCAGAGTCCTGAGCATCTACGGTGTGCTCTGTGTGCATTACCTCCTTTAACCTTCTTAGTCGCTTTATGTGGTGTAGCTCTTACCAGTATCCCCATGCTACCCCCACCCCCAGAGGAGAACCAGCCAGCTCAGAGGGAGCAGGCAGTTTGCCTAAGATTATGCTGTTAGTAATTGTTGGAGGCAGGAGCCAGGGTGTGGCAAAGGCAGGTGAACTCCAGTGCACCACAGTGGGGAACCTGCAGCCTCAAGGCCGCATGTGGCCCTCCAGAACCCCAAGTGCGGCCCCTCGACCGAATCCAAACTTCACAGAACAAATCCCTTTATTAAAAGGATTTGTTCTGTAAAAATTAGATTCAGTCAAAAGGCCGCATTCAAGGAGCCAGAAGGCCACATGTGGCCCCGAAGCCGCAGTTTCCCCACCTTGCGAGGGAAGCAGGCCCTGCCCCATCTGCAGGCCTCGGTGACGTCTAGTGGGCAACAATAGAACGAGGCTTTTAACCACAAGTCCCACTCTTTTGGTAAATTTTTCTACCTTCTTGAAGGGGTTGGACTTATGTTTTCTGGGGTCTTAAAAATAATTCTTTCCCCCAAAGTGGATTAAATAAAATAAAATTGATATTTTCCCTGAGGTTTAGGACAAACATGCAAGACATCACAAATAATCTTTACAAAGTCCAAGTTTTTGAAAATAGGAAGACAAATGCCAATGATTTCACACTGGGCCGGGAGAGCGAGTTGCTGCCTGTCTTTATACCTAAAATCAGCCGTTCAGAATAAACAAGGATACGGGATTATTTGGCAGATGTTTGCTGAGCATTTTCTGGGTATAGAGCACTAGGAATAGCAGGATGAATGAGATCCGATTCTTATATTCGGGGGTTCACAGTCTAAAGGGATGACAGATCAACAGATAGTTACACTCCAGTGATGGCAGCAGTGCGGCTCTGCCTGGGTCACACGGAAGCGCCGAAGGGAGAACCCAGCCTGGCGTCAGGACGGGGCACTCGGAGCAGGCGCTCTAGAGAGGGGGCCAGCGCGGAGGCTTTGTGTCTTATCACGTGTAAGAGTGTGATTTGTACCCCAAAATGTTGTCATTTCAGGGACATTTTGACAATTAATAGAGATAAAATGTAAGAGCATATTTCAAACAAGGCGTGCCCTGACAAGTATGCAATATGTGGGTATTACACCTCAGTAACTCTTAAGTTTGGTCATCAACACTGGAGACGGTGAAATCTTTTTGTGGAGTTTTAATGCCCCAGAATCTTTGAGACATTAAACTCCTCTTGGCTTATTCGTCTTTTGCACTCCGGGGCCTGATACAGTAGGGGCTCTGGAAATTTCTGTTGAACCACAGAACCGAATCCCAGTTCATGAGGCATGAAGGTGACGGGCAGCAGTCAGTGAGCGTGTCAGAAGCCTGCGCAGGCACGGCCGAGGCCAGCTCACTGGGCCTCCTGGGACACGCTGCCTTTCCCCGCACTGTTGCCCCCACCTCAGCTTTCGAGCCCATAGAACCGTGAAGAGGAGAATGGAAATCCTCACCTTGGTGCTGTATGAGTCATCCCCTGAATGCTTCCTGTTTAAAAATACTCTATCTTATTCCAGGAAGGATTTTCAGGCAGGTGAGCCTCTACTAGGTGTGCCTGCAAATAGCTCTCTCCTTTCACCTCGGATGACTTGTCAGCAGACACTTTACCACAGAGACGTGCAGGGCTCGGGCCGGGAATGGGGTGTCTGTCCTGCAGTGACTTCGCCTCCAGAGGGTTCCAGGGCAGCCCCAGCAGTTACTCCTGAGGTCAATCTCTGGGTACCCAGGGCGATGGCTTCTGTTATAAGAAAGAACCTGTTATCTTCAGTTATTTCACACCCATGGAATAACCACATTTTTTAATTTCGGAACGATATCATTGTCAGGAAACCGCTTCTCTTGGCATTTCCAAGGAGTTTAAGGGCCTAGAGGAGGAATGAGATCATGGCAGTCCCAGGGCTCAGTGCCACCCCTGCACACTCATCTTGGGAAAAACTGGACATGACAACGCCTTTCTCATAGAGTGGTTTTGAAGATTTAGTGAGATAACCATGGCGAACACTTAGCACACAGGGCCTGGCACATGCAAATGCTGAATCCTTGGAACTGTTAGTGATATTATTTGCCCTGTGCCACCTCCGTGTATCCACTCTGTCACTCTACTCCTGAATTTCTTCCACACCCTGTGACAGGCATTGGTTTTCATCACAGTTCTGGTGGCCACTCCTGCAAGGACTTGCCTGTACCCAGCACATGTCTTCAGACCACCTCTTGCACCCCCTCAACCCCACAGGCCTCACCCAGCACATGCAGACACGTGTACGTGTCCACGCCCAGACCCTTCATCACTGAAACCCTTCTTGTCACATACTTGGGGACTGCAGTCAGCAATCCTCTTTGTGCATGCCAAGAGAGTTCATAATACAGGGCAAAGAAAGACATCTTTTTACTAGTCTTATACATAAACATAAAAACACTTCTGAAACCAACTTTTCACTAAGGGTATCTCTAAATTGGATGAATAAAAGCTAGCATAGGCCGGGCGCGGTGGCTTACACCTATGATCCTAGCGCTCTGGGAGGCCAAGGAGGGTGGATTGTTTGAGCTCAGGAGTTCGAGACCAGCCTGAGCAAGAGCGAGACCCCGTCTCTACTAAAAACAGAAAGAAATTAATCGGACAACTAAAAATATATAGAAAAAAATTAGGCGGGCATGGTGGCACATGTCTGTAGTCCCAGCTACTCGGGAGGCTGAGGCAGGAGGATCGCTTGAACCCAGGAGTTTGAGGTTGCTGTGAGCTAGGCTGACGCCACAGCACTCACTCTAGCCTGGGCAACAAAGTGAGACTCTGTCTCAAAAAAAAAAAAAAAAAAAAAAGCTAGCATATACTGAGCCCTTGCCTGGTGCCAGGCAGGCTAAAGACACTTGAAATATATATTAATGTCTCATCTTTTCAGTAACTTCATAAGGTAAGCATTCCCCTCTCTCACAGGTGAGACAGTCGAGGCTCAGAGAAGTGAAGTGACTTGCCTGAAGTCACACAGCAGGCTAGTGGCAGAACTAGTGTTCAGATTCACCTCTGACTGCAAAGCCTGTGGCTGTGTCCTTCGGGATCCCATTTCCTCTGTCCAGGTGTGACCTAGGTCAGATCCACTGTCACGGCGTCAGCGTTTCCACCATAGTAACAGGTGGAACAAAACAAGGCTGCTAGTCTAGCAAAACAAGAGCAAGTTAGACTTCCCAGCTCTTCCAAAAATCAGACTAATCTTGCAACCGCATAGGTGGCTGCCAGCTTTCTAATGAGACCGATAAGTGACGTGATGTTTCATTTATAACGCATTCCCTGCTCTATGGGGAGCAAAGGGGTATCTTGGCCATATTAAGTGATGGATATGGGAAGGCAGGGCTGGACGGAACTAAATTGCTCTGCATGGTGATAGCAAAGACATCAAGAAGCCCTCAAGAAAGCTCATAAGAATGGGATATTAAAAAAAAAAAAAAAGGAATGAGAAATTTAGAGACCACATTGGGGAAGGGGCCATAGATAGGTCAACCTGGGGGCAGCACCGGGAAGGAGTGTAGAGGGACATGCCCATTTCTAGTATATGCTCAGTCTGTCATTCATTCCTTGCTGGTGGCGTGGATTTTCTTCAGGAGAATGAGGGAAGCAGCACATGCTACTGCATCACAAGCATGGGGCAAGTTCAGAGACTGCATGGACCCAGCCACATGGTGTTATTAATCTTACTGTTTTTGATTTCCCAGGCAACCTCAGAACCTGTTCTGGATCCACAGCAAATCCAAGCATTTGATCAGCTTTGCCATCTCTACCGAGGGAGTTCTAGGGTAATGCTTGTGTGGTGATTCAATTTTTATTTCCCTGTTTATAATTTACTCTTTAGGAAAGGCAATATCCTCAAATCCTCCCTCTAGACTCCTCCTTAGCCCAGAAGGTGCCCCAGCATCCCTGTTATGGCCATGCAGCCGACCAGCCCGGGCCGAGGAAACACTCAGAGCTTGGCACAGGAGCAAAGGAAGTGGAAAGATGTCTGTCCTTCACCTGCCATGGGCTGTGAGGACACAGAAGGGCTGTGTTTGACCTGCCTCCAGAGAGAACAAGCAGAAGCCTAGCCCCTCATCCGAGAGGCCTTTATTAATATTGATGACTGCCAAATCCATCCTCAGCCCCAGGCCCTCCTGGACAGCTGCACTGGTTGAATTGGTTTTGGCCATGAAAGACAAATGCAAATCAATAATGGCTTAAACAAGATAGACATGTAAATGCAGGTGGCCAGGGCATGTCCACGCACCTCCTCCAGATCTCTTCTATCTTGTGATTCTGCCGCCCTTAGCACGTGGCTCATACTTGTATGGTCCAATATGGTTGCTCCAGCTCTAAGCATCACATCTGTATTCCAGTTAGCAAGAGGGAGAAAAAGGAAGAAGAAAATAAGCCCTCTCTTTAAGGACCGTGCCTAGAAGTTGTACACACCGCTTTCACTTACCTCCATTGTCTAGAACTTAGACCCAGGACCACACCTAACTGCAATGGAAACTGGAAAAATTGGTCTTATTCCAAGAGGCGATGAGCAAAAACTCTCGGTGTCCTATAACTGTAGAAGGGTACAGTATAGCGGTCATTGCTGTAACATCAGTCGGGGTGTCCCCCAGGCACTTCCGACATGTACTCATCAGCTTTCTTGGCCTGCCTTGGGAATGGCACCTTCTGTCATCCAGTCCCCCAGAGCGGAGACCTGGCTGTACCCCCAGCTCGTCCCCACTCCCCCTCCGTCCACACACGGGGGAGACCCTGTCGGCATCTTCTCCATTTCTCCCTTCCCCTCTAAAGTGCCACCGCCCTGGGTCAGACCTCCTTGTCATTCAGAGAGGCCACTGCAGGTTCTGATGGGTTAGAAATCCTTCTGTCTCTTCCGCATGCTACCGCCTGGGTACGCTTTCCAAACCCAAATGTATTGTGCTACTCCTTGCTTAAAACACATCTGGACCTCCACTACCCAAAGCATGGAGTCCGAACTCCCACCTCCCCCAGATCACACCTGAATTCCAGCTGGGTCCCATTTGTTCGTGGCCTTCTCTCGAGCTTGTGCAAAGGCCGAGGCTCCCTCCTCCCACTCCCTGTTCTTAGGCAAACACCTGCTGGGTTGCTTGGCAGCCCAGTGGGAAAATGGTGTTCCCTCTCTGAGCACTGGTCTGGGCAGAGGTTGTGATTCCAGGAGACTTCTGTTTCTGCAGGGGCCCCCAAACGTGCTCCAGCAGCTTCCTGGCATCACCTCCACCCCTTCTTGGCCAAGCTCTGCCTCGGAGTTGGGTTTCGGGCCTTCCAGGGAAATTTTGCTCTAAACTGTTGAGCCCTTATTCAGGGCTCATCAGTTTCCAGAGCACAAAGTTACAGAAGTAGAACACAAAAATATCTCTTCTTGGGAAATAAAACATATATTTCTGTGGTTGGTCTTTCCACCTCACGGTGTCAGAAGGTGGAAGCACTGAGTTTAGCATCTGCTGCCTGCTCTGTCCAAGGCCTTGTACTTGCAGCCCTTGCAGAGAACTCGCAGGCTGATGGACAGCTGAGAGGGTTACAGAAGAAAGGACGTGACACATGGTGAGACTCGGGCACAGCCAAGGACGTCCCTCGTCATCCCTGGCCGGATGGCTTGAGGGAGCCTGCACAGGTGTGACCTTGGCCAGCTGAGGGACCTGCAGTCAGAGGTTCAGAGTCAGAGTTACTGAATTGTAACTTAGATCATAGGTATGTCTCTGGGACTGGATTGTTTTGATAAATTGGCACTTAGAACTTAAAGGCCTTCAGATGTCTCCCCAATTACCATAGCTGTGGCTAGTGAGTTTTCAGAAGTGACAAATGGACACATGAGCCTTGTGCCATCATTGCCTGCATGAGGGGAGAACCCCTTGCCAGTGGTCAGGGAGCAGAGCAGGTGGGAGGGCACAGGTGACAGACAAGTTCTTTCTAGAGAAGGCAGGACTGTCGGCAGAGTGGCTGAGCAGAAATCGCCACACAGACCTGAGTTTGCGTCTCACGTTACCACTCACTGCTGGTGACCTCAGGCAAGTTACCTAACTTCTCAGGGCTCCAGGTTTTTTACCCCAGAGGGCTGTTGTGAAGGCCTAGAAATAGCACCCACGTAAAGCACCTAGCAGAGTGCCTGGCACTGAGAAGACACTCGGTACTCTTGCCCGAGACTGTTAGAATCCCTCAGATTCAGAGGGACGCAGAAAGCATCTTTGGGTGAGAGGGGTGGCCCCTCTGAGCGGCACAGCCTGGCTTCCCAGTGGGCTGGCATTAACATTTCCTCCTGCCACTCTCTCCTCCTTGCCAGGTCTTCCAGAATTGAGTCACTAACAAAATGAGGGTGGGAATAGGGCGGCTGGGAATAGGGCGGCTGGGAACAGGGAGGACGCCTGTGGGGGAGCAGGTAGTCCGTGAGTTCTGCTCTGGAGGCCCTGGGTTTGCACTGGCGCCTGGGCATCCATTTGGAGCTATCCAGGTTACAAAAGAGAAAGGTCAGAGCCAGCGGTCATAATTCAGGATCATCCGCCCCAAGGAGAGCGCACGGGGAGGGAGAATGTGGAATGAAATGAGCTGGGAAGAAGGGAGAGCCTCCGCTCAGGCCCGTGCACAGGGAGGGCGGGCAGCGGCGGGCCGGGCACCGCCGCCGGAGCAGGAGTGCTTGGCGTGGGGCAGGTCCAGGGCGGAACCCTGCCCTGGGGAGGGGGAGCACGGTCCGTGTGCTTGGGAACGAGCCAATCCAGTCTCATCATTATTGAACGAGGAAATTTAGGCCCTAAAAAATGAAGTGAATTTGCCCAAAGTCACTACTAGTTTGTGAGATACGGACCTTGGAACCAAACCCAGTTTTTTCCCTCTTCCCACGATGTGGTGCTGTCTCTCGTGTATCCGAGGCAGGAGAATTCAGGACCCTGTCCACCCCTGTTCCCCACGCCCCTCCCACACCCACGCACACAGATTTTCTGCTCCCACAAGCCTTGGCTAATGTGCGTCCCCTCCTTTGCAGTTGGCTCTCCTTACGGAACTCTCCCAGAATCGCAGCAGTGAGAGCTACAGGCTGTTCAGTGGCTCCCAGAGCAGCCCTGCTTTCAACAGCATCTTCCAGAACGAGAACTTCCAGCTGCAGCTCATTCCCCCGCCCGTGACTGAGGACTGAAGCCTCCCTGGGGCCTGGCCCTGGAGACCCGGAGACGACGATCCCAAGGCGACTGGAGATCAGCCCGCTTCTCCGACCAGCTTGGCCCCCACTGCCTCCCACACTTCTGTGCCCAGGGCTTCTCAGTGTAGACTCCCCGTCTCTTCCACAGTGCTGTCGCCATGTCATTTCACCAGACTGGTTGATTTAATTTTGCTTGTTAAGCAAAGGAATGACACATACCTCCGTCCAGCTTTTTAGGAAATACATTTTGCCTGTTGGGACTTTTTCCTATTTCCCCCGAAGCCTGTAGGTGGAGCTTGTGCAGATGGCATTCCAGAGTCTGTCATAGTCCATCTCCTCCAGCTGATGGAGAACATGAAGGAACTTCAGCTTCTGCAGGGCGCGGTGGTTGGCCAGGCTGCAGTGTGACTGAAGCATGCATTGGAGAGAGCAAAGAACCTGTAGGCTGGGGGCATCTCCCTTTTGATGTGTTTATGTTAAAACCCATTTATGAGTGTAAGACTTGCCCAATAAATGCCTCTGTGTTTAAGTTCTGCAGGCCTGCTGGCTGGCTGGCTGGCTCTTAGTCTGTCAAATCATAGAGGACATGTAGAGCCCTATTGGCACAGTTCAGTTTTATTAGCTCAAAGTGAGGGACCCTGACTGTGGCAGCCCCACTTTATTCAGATAAGCAGCCCCATCTGCAGCCTCTGTTCTGAGCAGCCCGACCGCCCAAGAGCTCCTATGACAGGCGCTAGACTGGCAGAGTAGAACTTGTACAGTTTTTGGCCCTGAGACTTTGTCACCACACCAAGAGACCTGCGTTTGCACCTCACATATTCACATGCTCCATTTTATCAGTTCGCTCAGAAATAACGATGCTCTCATGGACTGATACTGCCCAAACCTACAGAAAACAGATGTATAAACTAGATACAAATATTTTAACTTCTGATGTAAAATAGATCCTGCTTCTGACAAGTACTAGCTGGAATCCTGAGCAAGTCACTTATCCTCTCTAAGCCTCAGTTTCTTTATGAATAGAGCTATTATGAAGATGAAATAATACACATAAACATTTAGTGGTCTGCAGGCACATGGCAAAAGCCACAGAAATGTTAGCTTAGTTTTTATTATGTTGCTCCTCCTAAGATCTGGGCTACACAGAGTACTGCTTCCTGATTAAGGTGTGAGAAGATCAGATTGAGGGAAGTGGTTGAGCATTAAGTGATCACCAGCTGGATGCCCGCTGCAGCTACATGAGATAGTTTCAACCCCAGTTCACAGATGAAAAAACTGACGCTCAGAGACAATAAGTAATTTAGCCAAGGGGACACATTGAAGACAGAACAGAGCAGGGATTTGAACTCAGAACTGTGATTCGAGAGTCAGTGATGCTACCTCCCTGAGTTATGTATCAGAAGGTTTCTCAGCCTAATATTAAGGCCAAAGGAACTCAATATTCTCAAAGCAAAACTCAGTGGTAACCCATCTTTTATAGTGTAAAGAACTAAAGCAAAGGAATATACAATATAAAAAGATGTAAATTGTGACATCAGAAACATAAAATATGTGTGGGAGGAGTGGAGTAAAAGTGTAGTTATTTTATGTGATCAAAGTAAACCTATTATCAACTTAAAAGAGCCTGCTATAACTAAGATGTTTTCTGCAAGCCTCATGGTAACTGCAAAGCAAAAACCCATAATAGATACATAAAAGATAAAAAGTGAGGAATCAAAGCATACCACTAAAGAAAATCATCTACTCACAAAGGAAGACAGCATGAGAAGAGGAAAGCAACAAAGGATCTGCAAAACAACCAGAAAGCAATTAACAAAATGGCAGCAGTAAGTACTTACCCGTCAGTAATTACCTTGAGTATAAATGGATTAGATTTACAAATCAAAATAAAGAGTGGCTGATCAAATAAAAAACAAGATCCAACTATACGCTGCCTACTAGAGATTCATTTCACCATAGATTGCAAATGAAAGGATGGAAAAAGATATTCCATGCAAATGGAAACGAAAAGAGAGCAGGAGTAGCTGCTATACTTACAGCAAATAAAATAGACTTTAAATGAAAAACTGTCAAATGATATAAAGGTTATTATATAATAATAAAGGGATCAATTCATGAAGAAGATATAAGTTGTCAATATATATGCACCCAACATCAGAGTATCTAAATCTATAAAGCAAGCATTAATTGATCTGATGAGAGACTGTGATACAGTAATAATTAATTGTAAGGAACTTCAATACCCCACTTTGAACAATGGACAGATCATCCAACAATCAATACAGAAACACTGGACTTGAACTATGCTTAGAGCAAACGTGCCAACAAACACACACACAGACATTCCACTTAACAGCATCAGAATACACATTTTTCTCAAGCGCACCTAGAACATTCATCATGTGGCACAAAACCAGTCTTAACAAATTTAAGAAGATTCAAATCATATAAAGTACCTTTTCTGACCACACTAGTATGAAACTAGAAATCAATAATAGGAAGAATTTGGGGAAATTTACAAATCTGTGGAAATTAAACAACATGTTTTTAAACAATCAATGGTTCAAGGAAGAAATTAAAAGGAAAAATTTTAAATACCTTGAGACAAATGAAAAGGGAAATACAACATACCAAAACTTACGGGATGTGCAAAAGCAGCTCTAAGAGGAAAGTTTATAAAGGCCTACCTCTAAATAGAAGAAAAATCCCAAATAACCTAAATTATACATCAAGGAACTAGAAAAAGAACAAACTAATCCTAAAGTTAGTAGAAGGAAGGAAATAATAACAATCAGAGCAGAAATAAATGAAACAGAGACTAGAAAAGATAAACGAAACAAAGAGTTGGTTTGTTGAAAAGATAAAATCAACAAACCTTTAGCTAGACTAAGAAAAAAAGAAGACTTATACGATCAGACATGAAAGAGGAGACATTACAACTGATACTACAAAAATAAAAAAGATCATAAGAGACTTCTATGGACAAGTATACACCAACAAATTGGATAACCTGGAAAAGAGGTAAATAACTAGAGACCTACAGCCCACTAAGACTAAATCATGATAAAATAGAAATCCTGAACAAACCAATAAAAAGTAACAAGATTGAATCAGTAATAAAAAGTTTTCCAACAAAGAAAAATCCAGGACCGAATGGGTTCGCTGCTGAATGCTACTCGACCTTCAACACATTAACTGCCATGTCAGTTGTATTTAGCTCATGCTAGTTTTGAGCCCAGGGCCTCATGAAGCATATGTAACTCACATCTCTTCACCTTGGGAGCCATGAGAACTAGTTTTCAAGTTGCATAAACTCATGCACAGAAAACAATTAAAAAATAAGAAATTTTTCATTAAATTAGGATAATTTTGTTTTCAAAATTTTTATTCTATTTTCATAATAAAACACCACGGCCCCAAGGAAAAAATTTTTTGGGGGGTGGCAGTAATGTGTCAAAGAAGATGATGCCACTGCACTCCATGCAGGGTGACAGAGTGAGACTCTACTCAAAAAATAAAAAATAAAGGATGCAAAATTACAGCTAGATAGGAGGAATAAGTTACAGTGTTCTATACCACTGTAGGATGACTACAGTTAACAATAATTTCACCTGATGCTTTCTGATAAAATAAACCAATAATCTATTGTGCAGTTTCAAATAGCTATAAGGAAGCTATTGAATGTTTCAAACACAAAGAAGTCAGAAATGTTCAAGGTGGTGAATATGCTGTTAATAATTACCCTGATCTGATCACTACGTATTATATGTATTGAAACATTGCTGTGTACCTCACAAATATGTATAATTATTAATGCCAATTAAAAAATGTTAACACTGAACAAAAAAGACATTGCAGCTTCCATATTGGTTATGCATATGTGCTCTTTCTCTCTCTCTTTCTCCCCACCCCCAACCCCCATCGCTCACTCAGGAGGAAGCCAGATGCCATGTTGTGACAAACCCTGTGTTGAGGCCCATGAGAGGAAGAAACCCTGCTGACAACCACACGAGTGAGTTCGGAAGCAGATCCTCCGGTCCCAGTCAAACATTCAGATACCTGCTGCCCCCGGTCAACAGCTGACTGCAATCTCATGAGAGAGGTTCTGACCCAGAATCAATCAGCTAAGATGTTCCCAAATTCCTAAGGTCCAAAAACTGTATGATATAAATGTTTATTGTTATTTCAAGCAACTAAGTTTGAGAGTAATTTGTTATGTAGCAATAGATAACTAATACAGTTTGCTTCCTATGGAAAAAAAGAAAACCTCTAGGCATCACATTACCTGATTTAAAAATTGACTACGGAGCTATAATTGTCAAAACAGTATGATACTGGCATAAAAACAGACATAGACCAATGGAACAGAATGGAGAGCCCAGAAATAAATCCACACATTTACAGTCAATTGATTTTTGACAAAGATGCCAAGAAAGCACAATGGGGAAACAACAGTCTCTTCAGTAAATGCTGCTAGAAAACTGAATATCCACATGCAGAAGAATAAAATTAGATCTCATCTTACGCCATGTACAAAAATCAACTCAAAGTAGATTAGAGACTTAACGTAAGACCTGAGACTGTAAAATTACTAGAAGAAACCATAGAGGAAAAGTTCCATGACATTGGCCAGACATTGGTCTGGCCAAAGATTTTTTGACTATGACCCCAAAAGCACAGGCAACAAAAGCAAAAATAGACAATGAGACTACATCAAAGTAAAAAGCTTCTGCACAGCAAAGGAAACAATCAGCAGAGTGAAAAGGCAACCTGTGGAATGGAAGAAAATATTTGCAAACCACTCATCTGATAAAGGGCTAATATCCAAAATACATAAGGAACTCAATAGCAGGGAAACATCTTCATTTAAAAAATGGGCAAATGACCTGACCAGACATTTCTCAAAAAAGACATACAAATGGCCACCGGATATATGAAAAAATGCTCAACATCACTTATCATCAGGGAAATGCAAATCAAAACCACAATATCACCTCACACCTGTTAGGACAGTTGTTATCAAAAAGACCTAAATGTTGGCAAGGATGTAGAGAAAAGGGAACCCTTCACACTGTTGATGGGGATGTACATTAGCACAGCCGTTATGGAGAACAGTATGGGGGCTCCTCAAACAATTAAAAATAAAACCACCATATGATCCAGCAACCCCACTACTGAGTATATATATCCAAGGAGTATGAAATCAGTATGTGAAAGAGGTATCTGCACCCCATGTTCATTGCGGCACTATTCACAATAGCCAAGGTATGGAATCAACCTGTGTCCATCAACAGATGAATGGATGAAGAAAATATGGTATATAC